TTTTAGGATAAAATCATGTGGTGAAAATGGTTTAAAGTGGGTTAGATTACTGAGATTACTGAGGAGGTAGCTTAGCACAATAGAGAAGCCAAATATAAGAATGTAAAATTGGCCTTTTATTTAAAAAATGTGGAGACAAGCCCACAGCCACTAAGGGCTTGGCTTTTATTTTTTTCAGACTGACTATGGGGTTATGTGGTATATGTGACTTTTGACTGGATGTGGTGCTTGGAGGGGACATTGATGTCATGCTAGGAGTTAATGGGAATTTTCTTTAGGCCCCTGGGAAAGAAAGAGGATGTTGTAATCAAGGAGAAAAGAGGAAGTGGCCATATGAGTAAGTATCCCTGAGTTCACCTTCTTCCACATTGAACTACCACTATGAGGTCCTAGCAAAACTCTTTCAAGTACATCCTTTGGTTTGAATGAAGAAATCAAAACAAAGAATTTTTGCTATCTGTCTTCCTCCATGGCTGGTGATAAGCCATTCATAAGAAATATTTTGATTCAATTCCTTAATGCATTGTTGATAATATAAACAAAATTACACATCAGTTCAGTTTCAGAAAAAGAAGCAGCACTTAAAGGCAGGGATAATGTCCTTCAATGCAAGTATCCCTGGCAAGGTGAGATCAACGTTGTGTAATATAAACTACAATTGATTTCTCTGACTTCCAGAAAGAGAAAAGTTTATACTGATATTGCTATAACAAAATCAATCTCCTGGTCTGCTATATCTGATATGATGCTTTTGTTCTGTAAAGTCAAAGACTGAATTTTAGGAACAACAGAAATTAACAGAAGAATATACTTATTGAGAGAAAGAAAGCTGCCTGAGACAGAGAGGGTGTCCTGAGCAGGTTGCCAAACACTGTCGTTTCTAGGGATTTTTATAGAGTAAAATAGTGTGGTGAAATGAGTTTAAGGTGGGGAAAACTAGGAACTCACAATGCCAATGGGCCTAAGATGGGACAGAGCTAAGGTAGCCAATAAGATTGTAAGTTCAGGTAAAGTTGATTAAATTGGGAACAAAGGGGGAAGGGAGTCACATAGAAAGCAGGCATTCTAGCACCTGTGACTCTTCCCTTTGGGGTTTGGGAGGGTGACTCCTGAGTTCATCAGGATGATAGGAAATATTTAAAATGTCAGTCCTTAGGATAAGCATACTTTTCTTTGAATGTGACTGCTCACCTCCTCAGAGTGCTATGGGACTATTTAGAATGTCAGTCTTTATGATATGGATGAATTTGCTTATCATTTGTCTTGAGCCTTGGCCCATAGCATGAGGTGTCAGTCTTCCCCATAGTTGGACAGTATCTGGTCTCCTGCATGGACTCCTTGGAGGACCTAGCCCTGCCTTATGCCAATACTATTTAAATAACTCAGGTGCCTGTAACAGTACTGTTTGGATAATTGATTACAGATGTCTTGTGCTGTGGGTGAATGATCTGGGGATTACAGTGTGCAGTATATATACCAGTGTTGCCCCCTGATTGACATGTTTTGAAATTTAATTTTAGTTGATGTGTTCTTTTTTCACTGAAATAAAATGGATTTGAAAATTAAAAGCCTGAGGTAAAGCTCTTCAGTACAAACACTCCTCTCGTCAAGATCACCACTGTAGAAGAACAGCAGCTCCAGAAGTCTCTGCACTACAGTCTATCATTTGAGATCCTCTCTTGCAGGGAGGGGTTTCTTTCCCTGTTTATTCTTGACTCAGAAGGAGGGCAGTAGAGCAGGAGTCAATCTGTGATGAAGGGGCAGGCTATATGAACTGTCCAATCAGATGGGCCATTGCTGACTGTGACTTCTGTCTCTTCTGATGTCTCATCATGATTTATCTGTTCTGAGTACAATACTGGTAGCAAAATGCTTGCTGGATCTCATTTAGTACTTTTGATGTCCTGTGGCCTGATTAGCAAAGAACCTGAGAGATCCTGAAGCCATGGAATGGTGAGGTTGTGGATGGGAGCCCAGAAATATGGTGGATTGGGTGAAACCAGTTAAAAGTGTTTAGGAGTCCTTCCGGTGTCTGGGTCCTCAGGTATTTAGTTAGCTTCAGCTCCTAAGGTCCTCAAGCTTTGGCCATGGTTCATTCACTGTCCCTTTTGCCTCTTGCTGTTGGCAAGGGTGACTTAGGGTCCCCAGAACCCTGGCTCCACTATGACAGCAGCAGACGCAAGTATCATCTTTAAAATTCACTGCTGGCCTGGTAACTCCACAATCTTAGGCATTGGAAGGAGCTTGGGAAGACCCTGACTATGATGCTTTTTGTAGCTTGTAGAGCAGTAATGAGCTACGTCTCTGCTCTCTTTCCTCAGAGTAGCTGATCTGGAATGTCCAAAGTTCATTAATGCCTGTAAAACAGGGCCTTATAGTCACAATGGCTCAAATTAAACTTTGGCTTTTTTGTATTTATAGTGATCTCCTATATTTATAGTATGTTCTCATATTTCCATCCTCATGACTGGTAGTGGCAAAGGTCCTGAGAATTCAGTGATGTATAGGAATGTGCCTCAGTAGAGGAAAGCTTCCCAAACACCTGGTGAACTCCTGTGTATTATACAGAACAGTGCAAAATGATTTCTGAACATACTGAATTATTTATATGGCACCCTTGCCCACAGACTAGGTTTGTGAGCCCAGCCATAGAGTTTTGAAGTTTGAGAAAAATGAAGCAAATATGAAAGTGTTATCAAGGACAGGGTAAAATTTGTGAAGGACAAATTCCAGAAAGGGCTACCTGTTAAATTCTCATCAAAAAATGCCAAATTTTAGGCATTTGCATGGACATATACGCATGATATCCTTCTGAATGGAAAGGAATAGGGTGTCATCTCTGAATTAAGAGCTGATTTAGTAGCTTGGTTGTTCATAGACAGTTTAAATATGTAAATGCTCTGCAATGGAATTTGCTAAGTGGTGTAAAGGAAAAGCTCTAAAGAGAAATTTTGCAGTGATATCAATAGTTTGGCATGAAGGGTTTCCTGCTGAGGATGGATCAGAGGAGTATGGAAAGGATGTGCAAGTGACTAACAGGATTCAGGAAGCCAATAGCAGGACATACAAGAGAGGGTCTTCACTGAAATTCAGGTAGTTCTTAGAATAAGTATGAAGTTATAGTTGGGTTCTGATTGCTTCCTTGAGGTGATCAACACCAGTTCTGGCAACAATCAGTATTTCACATCCCTGTCTACCCATGTATTTTTTGTTCCATACTTGAGATCTAATTTGGATTATCTCTAATTATGCCCTAGTGTCATGAAGGTAAAATTTGGATTTTTTTTGTACCAAGGATCGAACTCATGACCTATGCTTTCCAGGAAGGCGGTCATGCCACTGAGCTAAATACCCAACTATGAAAGTGTTTTCTGTGTACTATGGAAGATATGCACATTTTTTCTCAGAAAGTGTTGAACATTATTGGCATTTTTTGGTATTGTATGGCTATAAGTTTTAAAAACAAACCAAAGGTGTCTTATGTAGTCTGTTTTCAAGTTTCACTTTGTCTGTGGGGTGTCTCAGTGTCGATGTCCGCTCCCGGCCGGCAGGAAGGACACACGACACAGTCTGGTAGTGGACAACCTTTTCTTTTTATTTTCCTTCTCCGTACAGCCTGCCCTGGGTTCTCCCAGCTGAAGCCTCCTTTGGTCCGCTCCCCGCGGCTCCTTTTGTGCTTCAGCCTGCCCCAAAGCCTCTACCGGTCCGCTCTCCGCGGCTCCTTTTGGGCTTCTACTTCCGGGCTTCTATCTGGCTTCTACTTCCGCCCAGGGGTGGCACCGGTATATATACGGGTACAGTGTCCAATCATGTTAAAGTAAGCAAGGCAAGCTGATTGGCTAACATCATCAGTTGCCAGGCAGACTATATTGTTGAGCGGGTTGTTTACGCGGTAAGCAGGAAACTAACATATTCGATGGGAGGGGTAATCTACCTCAGGCCTCACTCTTTACTACAGGCCTCACGTCCGCCAAGTGAGGCGACCGGGCTCGGGGCTGCGGCTCCCAACATCTCCCCCTTTTTTATTTTTTATGAATGTGCGCATCGTAGCCCTTCCTGGACTGGGTGCAGAGGCTTATGCCCTATGCGTAGGCCCACCGTAGGTCCTTGGCTTAGACCCTGGTCGGCCGTCCCATGGTCTGCCAAGGCCCTGAGGCCCTCGTCCTTTTTCTAGGGCCAGGCACAAACTGGACGGAACCTGGATGCACACAAGCTTGCACTCATTCTCTCTCCGTAAAGAAATCCCCTCGGAGAGAAATTTAGACCTGGGCAGCATCTAACAGTCCAGCGGCTTACGTGCAGGATGGGGTAGGGCCTGGCTTAGGTCGAGTCGTGCTGGGGAGGCACGCTCTTACCCGTCATTGACTCATCTACCCTGCTATATCATAATTTTTTAGAGGAGGAGTGTGGGAAGCTCACCGTCCCTAGACTCGGTCGTAGGCTAGGCGAGCGAGCCATGCATATGCCTGAGGATCTTTTTGTCCATTTTGGGCTACCGCTATTTTTATTTATCTTATTGGTTGGTCTGTGATGGATCTCCAGTAGGGCAGGTCTGATCTTCAGTCGAGGGCTTTGTTGCCCGTGTCAGTCTCTCCGGTATCCACAGTGGTTCTCGTCCCGATTCCTGTGGGAAAACACAAACCGCGCCTCGGTTCCAGCTGATTACCGGATCCGGGCCCATCCATTGTCCTGTCAGGACATCTTTCCACTTCACCCACCCTTTATGGTTGGGGGAAGGGTTGCAGTGCTCCACAGCTGGGGAGCGATTATCATTATTTAAATTTAAAAAATTGTGTGTGAATAGTGCCATGGATAATCGTGCCTTTGGGGCCAGGCCTTGGCCTACTCCCCCTTTTTGTTTTTGTAAAATTTCTTTGAGGCTTCTATGAGCCCTCTCAATGATTCCTTGACCTTGGGGATTGTATGGGATACCATGTTTTAATTGAACCTCCATCATTTTGCAGAACTCATTGAAAGCTTTGCCTATATAGGCTGGTCCATTATCAGTTTTTAATATTTTTGGTTTGCCCCATGCGGCCCAAGCTGCCAGGCAATGATTGATCACATTAGACACTTTTTCACCTGTTTCTGCTGTTGCAAATATGACGCGAGAACAGGTGTCTGTGGAAACATGAACATATTTAAGAGTCCCAAACTCCTGTATATGTGTGATGTCCATCTGCCAAACATCACCAGGGATCAAACCTCGAGGGTTTACTCCCATCGGTATGGCAGGTTTGTATGTGGCACAGGAGTCACATAGTCGCACGATATCTCGTGCATCTGCTCTAGAAACATGGAAATGGTTTGCTAGTGTCCTGGCATTAACATGAAATTTATCATGGAAGGCACGGGCTCGCTCGATTGGTGTTAGTAAGGTAAAAATCCATAACGGGCGAGTGGCAGTGTCAGCAGCCGCATTCCCCTGTGCCATGGGCCCTGGCAGGGATGTATGTGCTCTTATGTGGGTGGTGAAGACCTTATGGTGTCTGTTTTGAAGCAATGTCTGGATAGACAGGAACAGTCCAGCCACTGTGGAAGTGGATCTAATTAAACTGGCAGTCTCAAGCACTTGCATAGCATTGACCACATACCTAGAATCGGAGACAATGTTAATGGCCTCTGAGAACCGTTCAAGAATCATTTTAACGATCTGCAGTTCCACCACCTGAGGCTGATCTGGTTCAAATTGTATGGTAACCGGGGGCTTGCCTAGGATCACATAGGCGCCTATCCCCGTCTTGGAGCCATCTGTATATATTGTAGTTGCTGGGACTAATGGCTCAGAGGCAGTAACCTTTGGAAAAATTATAGGGTGCTGAGTGACAAATGACAAGATGAACACCCATATAAGTCTGGAGGCGACACTGAGGTCCACACCTGCTGACCCAGGGGTGGCCCTTGTTGAAGGCTGCCACCCTGAGCTGTCCTGTCTCTGGGGCGGGGGCCTGCCTGTGAAGGGGGCCCCCTCTGGCCGTTTTTTGGCTCTCTAGCATCTTGTCCACAAATACGGTTGCCCTGAGCATCAAAGACCGACCTACACTCCTCAGCTTTGTGTGATCCCTTCTTGCATCGCCCACAAACATATGGTTCTTCATTCCTAGGGCGAGGCCTAGCATCTGCATTGTTTGGGCAGTGACGTTTAATGTGTCCTGGCTCCCCGCAGGCAAAACACCCTTTAGCCTTACATTCCCCTTCTAACCCGCGAGGTCCCCTCTGCTGTACAGCCGCGGCCAGGAGAGCAGCCACTCCCGAGTTGGAGAGCGGCCCCCCTATCTCTCTGCATATCCTAATCCAGGCATTGAGGTCCTTGTTCTTATGAGGAGCTATCGCTGCCTTGCACTCCTTTGTACATTGCTCAAAAATCAGCTGTCTTACCAGCGGTTGAGCCACTCCCGGATCAGAAAATATCTTATCGGCAGCATCTTGCATTCGGGCCACAAAGTCAACAAATGGCTCTGTGGTACCCTGAATTATTTTTGAAAGACACAAGGAGGCTGTTCCAGCACCACTTACTTGCTTCCAGGCGCGGAGTCCTATGGCATTGATTTGCTCATAGACAGCGCCGGGGAACTGGGTCTGGTCATCAGCGTGCCGACCTTCTCCCATAAGCATTTCCTTGTTCCACCCCCGGTTTCCTCGATTGGCGTTTTTCTCAGCCTGCTCGGCAGAGAACTCTGCATACCAGGCTCGCCAATCCAGGTAACTGCCCGAGGGCAGACAGGCCTTTGCCAGCTGAATCCAGTCCGCGGGGGTGAGGGGCCCAGAAGACAGATTCTCCAGCATGGCAATGGTGTAAGGCGCAGTCGGCCCAAAGGTTGTAACTGCATTTTTAAGTTCTCTAATCTGCTTTATCTCAAAAGGCTCCCATACATTGCGTCCCTGGCCCATAGCTACTTGTACAGGAAATATCCCGTAGGGGCCACTATCTATCCCAGGTGGATGTACCTCATGAGACAAGCGTCCCCCCTGCCAAAGCCGCCTGTAAAAATACCGACCCGCCGGTGGCGGAGCATAAGACGGCGGCCGTGATTGGGCGGAAAATGGGGGCCCGTGCATCACTTCCTGTTCTGGCGAAAGGGGAGGGAGCTCCCAGGCGGCCGCCTCGTGGCGAGGGACCGCCTCCCTCTCGTGCCGGGGCGCACTCAGGAGCTCTCTACTCCTCCGCAGACCAGGTTGAGCAGAGCGCAATTCGCGGGGCAACGCTGGAAAAGAACCCTGCGACTCCTTATTGAGCGATTTAGGCTCCTGACAGCTGGTCTCTTTGGCCTCCCTGCCATTTAACTTTCCCTCGTCCTCGGAGTCAGACGACTCCGAGGCTAGAGCCCCGTCCTCCTCCTTAGCATCCTTGTTCCCCTTGACAAACACCTCTCGGGAGCTCCCTGACTGGGCCTGCTCAGATACCCTGCATACTTTTGTAAGCTCTTGAGAGCTTTCTCCACAACCACCCTCGCTCTTAGTGTTGCTACCTAACATGTTTCCCATCTTTTAATATGTTACTCACCGCGTGAGGCCCAAGGAATCCGCCACTTACGCGTGAGCCTGAGGGGAGTCTAAAAGCCCTGTAGGTGCGCGCCACCCAGAGCCCAGGCTTATCCCCAACTCACCTGTCTCGCAGCTCTGTACTGGAGCGTTGTCCACTACGTCTCGGGGGTGATCAGTCCCCGTACGGGCCACCAAATGTCGATGTCCGCTCCCGGCCGGCAGGAAGGACACACGACACAGTCTGGTAGTGGACAACCTTTTCTTTTTATTTTCCTTCTCCGTACAGCCTGCCCTGGGTTCTCCCAGCTGAAGCCTCCTTTGGTCCGCTCCCCGCGGCTCCTTTTGTGCTTCAGCCTGCCCCAAAGCCTCTACCGGTCCGCTCTCCGCGGCTCCTTTTGGGCTTCTACTTCCGGGCTTCTATCTGGCTTCTACTTCCGCCCAGGGGTGGCACCGGTATATATACGGGTACAGTGTCCAATCATGTTAAAGTAAGCAAGGCAAGCTGATTGGCTAACATCATCAGTTGCCAGGCAGACTATATTGTTGAGCGGGTTGTTTACGCGGTAAGCAGGAAACTAACATATTCGATGGGAGGGGTAATCTACCTCAGGCCTCACTCTTTACTACAGGCCTCACGTCCGCCAAGTGAGGCGACCGGGCTCGGGGCTGCGGCTCCCAACATCTCAGTCAGTGTTTCTCTATTTTATACAGCTCTGTAACTTACAATAGCCCCAAATTCAAGGAAGAACACCTTCACCAGCCTCCCAAGATATATTTCTTATATCTGAATTGAAAGTGATGGCTTGGTGACAGTGAGCTATAAATTACAGCTTGGGCCTCGTTCCATTTTATATACTTATTTTTTAAAAACAGTATTTTCCACTAATATTTGAGTTATTAGTTGTGTACCATATTGGATGTTATTTATGTTTTGTCCTATGAAACCAAATTCATGTTTCAAAATGCTGCTGAAGTATATTAAGAACAAAGTACTCACTGGCCTAAATGAGATTTGAAGAGACATTATCTGTAGCCTATCAAAGTAATTGATGAAATTTTTTTCTTTTTTTAAATTTCGAAAGTGATAAAGTACAACAGAACAAGGCAGAATAAGATCATACAGTGAAATTGGTACACAACTTCACAACAGGTTACTGGGATAACAGTAATTGGTATGACAGTATATTTTATTATCTTTATAATAGTTGTTTTTTCAAACCCGTATATCAAAATGAGATGAAATACAGAACATTCTAGTACTTATCAAAACAGAATATTGAATAGAGCAATACAATTAATCAGAATACAGCAAACCAATAATAAAAATATTTGCCTTCAAAGAGATAGTAGAAGAAAGTCCCCCTTATTTGTTATGGTCTGCTTCCCAGTAGACACTCAGATTTCTGGTTCCCATTTGATAACGGGGGGTTACAGGAGGAGAGGAGTAGGGAAGAGGGATGTTTGATTCTAGGCCGTGCATCAGTAGGTTCACTATTGCTTAGTAGGGAGACAGGCTGGTTGTTTGGTTTCACAGCGTCCTAAGTTCCCACATGGCACAGGTCTCAGGAGCTGCTGCTGGTTCTACCCCTGGAAGGGCCGCATTCTGCCAGACTGCCACCGCTTATCAGAGAGAAGTGGTTTGCTTGCCTTCCAAGTGTCCTAAATTCCATCGTGGCATGGATCTCAGGAGCTGCTGCTTGTTTGCCCCCTAGATGGGCCACAGTCTGCCACATTGCCACCACTTATCAGGGAGGGGAGGTGCTTGCTTGGCTTCCCAGTTGATTGATGGGATATTTATCTGCCTCTGTGCTTTGTGGATGCTGGTCCTGCAGGCTTCTCACTGTGAGCTCTGCTTTAGAGACAGTACACAAGGAATATTGCAGTGACTCAGCACAAAATTCAGTGCTCCTATTTCACTGTTACATTAGCAGTGAGTTGCAATCTATCATCAAATGTGCTGTCTTCAAAAATGTGTATATACACAAAATTAATGACCAAAACATGGATTTAAATTTGAAGAAATCAGTCTTCATTCAGGTTTTTTGTTTAGTTTTGTTTTGTTTTATTGAGATAAGCTTTCTGAACGTATAACAGCTGGATTTGAACACCCTATGGAGCCTAGAATTTTCCGAACTCACCGAAGCCATCCTGTCTCAGCCTTTTGAGTGCTGGGATTATAGATATGCACCACCACACTTTGCTTTTGATTCAGATTTGTAGGAGAGTATTTAAGATATCCCAAACCTGGTGTCTCAACCTTCGTGTGAGAAATATATGTATGATCCTTTAGGAGGTGGTGACCCTTGAGGATGTGGTCGTGAACTTCAGCAATAAGGAGTGGACTTTGCTGAGTCCATCCCAAAAGAACCTCTACAGAGGTGTGATGGGCAAAACCTTTAGGAACATGACTGCAATTGGTAAGGACAAAATACTTTCATCACTCATGCTGTCAGAATGTTGTATGTCACTCATTAGTGCTGTTTAATTAAAAACAATGTGAAAATATTTTTAAAAATAGCTCAGACATGGACACATTATATCATAACTCTAAACAAAATCTATTAATTTGTGTGTATTATTCTAATGATCGCTGGTATTTCTATGTCTACAATTCAGGAGGACTTTGAGATATCCAGGAAGCTAAAAAAGAATGCAAAATTTACTGGAGATACTTAAGGTAATTCGCACTCACAAGGAGAAGGAATGTTCCTGAGTAATTAGTGAGTCAGCAGAAAAATGACCACCAAAGAAATGAGGCACCATTCAATTTATTGTCAGTAATAGTCTCCAAAGACATATAAGCTAGGGTATGTATAATGAGTGAATTAAATCATGAAAATGTATGACATTGCATATAGATGTGTATGAAAGGCATACACTTTGAGTTATGACACTCTCCCTTCAGTTTTTCTACCCATATATACATGTGAATACAACACATTCATTATCTAAAAATTTCTACGATTGCAATAGAATTTGAAATAAAACAGAGTGCTTGTGTTTGCAAGCCATGCTCTAAAGAATCAGCCATTCTGAGTAAAATTCTTAGAAGGCTGGTAGAATGTTAAGTGCACTCATTCTGAATATCAGTGTGCAGTTGTCTCTAGAAATTGATCCCCTCATACTTGTCCTGGATATATTTTTAAAAATTCAAAATCCACATAAAATATTGATACATGCTTACTCATATACAAAGCAGATCGTTATAATAGATCAGGACTTGAAGACGCTTAGCTATCTATCACTGGATTTGTGGAGAAGGAAAATGTTAATAGACTCTCTGTGATTGTGCATTCTTGTAAACCCAGCACACTAGGAATCAGATTTTGCAGAATGGCAAATTCAAGTTCAAACTTCACAGCTTAATGATCAGCGAAAATCTCTTAAAACAGATTTAAAAAGCTATAGATTTTATGCTAATAGCTGTTGTTCATTCCCAGCATGGAAAAGAAAAAAAAATGTGTTATATAATGTCAAAAAATAAAGAATATAACATCATTTGCCATAAGAAATAGGTGGTTTTTTCTCTCATCAATTCGGTGAAATAGCTCAGCTATAAAACATAAAATGTCACAGGGTTTCTTTTAGATGAAAAACCAAAATATAAATTGTGGAATGAAATGAAAGAGAGTTAATAGAGAAAAGTAAGACTGGCCATATGGAAACTGGAACTACAGGTTAAGGAACGAAGGGAGATTGTGATGGGGAAACATATGAGAATGATCTGTATGTGATACACATATGTACCCATGCCCAAAGTGAAGCTAAAGATTCTGCATTTCAAAAAGTACCAAATTTTAAGATTTACAAATGTGTGCCAGTCTTTTGGGAATGGTTGTTTTCAACATGTCTTACAAGGCCATTCTGTTACTTCATGGTCAGAATTTCTTAGCAGGCATTAAAAACAGAACTTGACATTAATGCAGTCATTAAACTGAGACCCATTTCACTGTGAATTTTTCTTTTTTTTATTTAATGTAAGGAAAGACTAAAAAAAAACAAAATAAGTAGAAATAATACCACTTTCACAGTGAAAATAAACAGTAAGAAATCTAAAGACAATGATTACATATGCTGCTCATAGAAATAGTTAATGAAACACAAAAGTGAAACAGATGAAGTGGGGATTCAAACAGTGAGACTGCAAACAGTTTTGTTCAACTCTTCAATAAAAACTTTGTAATATGGTTATCAATCTTATATGTGATTTTTTTTTACAGAAATGAAAAGCTAGGGAAATCCTATGGACATACATCTTGGAATCAGTGTAAAGAAGTATTCATTTGTACTGCAGAAGGTAATGTGAATGTGAAAGAATCAGAAACACACCACAATGTTCAGATCCATGAAAAATATTGCAGTGGAGGGAAACTCTATGTATGTCAGCAATGTGGAAAAGTTTTCACCAAATCTGGACATTGTAAGCAACATGAAAGATTTCATACTGGAGTGAAACCATATGTATGTAAGCAATGTGGGAAAGGTTTTAACACATGGGGATATTTTAAGAAACATGAAAGAATTCACAGTGGAGAGAAACCCTATGTATGTAAGCAATGTGGGAATGCTTTTAACACACGTGCAAATTTTAAGGTTCATGAAAGAATTCACACTGGAGAGAAACCCTATATATGTAAGCAATGTGGGAAAGCTTTTACCCGACATGGACATTGTAAGCAACAAGAAAGTTCACACTCAAGATAAAACCAGTGTATATAAGCATCATGAAAAATTTTTGAGCACAAGTACATATTGCATAATGCGTGAAAAACTTCACACTGGGCAGAAAACTTATATATGTAAGGAATGTGGGGAAGGTTTTAGCAGAAATGCTCATTGTCCAATACGTGAAAAAATTTACACTGTTGAGAAACCCTGTTTATGCGAAGAATGTGGGAAAGCTTTCACCACACATGGATTTTGTAAAATGCATCAGTGACTCCACACTGGTGAGAAACCCTATGCATATAACAATGTGGCAAAGCTTTTGCCACATACAGTCATTGCAAAACACATGAAACGCTTCACACTGGGAAGAACCACTGGCTATGTAAGCAAGTGGAGACACTTTCAGCAGCCAGATTGTAAGTGAAATACATGAAGAAACTCACACAAGAGATAAATCCTATGTGTTATGGGAATACTCTCAGCACACATGATCATTGTTACATATCTGAAAGAGCTCACTGGATCCTATGTGTATTAACAGTGTGAGAAATATGGCAATCCATGTTTGTTGTTAAATACATAGAAAAAGCAGCACTCTTCAGACAGTTTAGATCTAAGTTTACTTTAAACATTCCAAGTACACCTGAAGAAATAATCAATACAGAAGTTTGATGTCAATATTTCTTCACAATTTTCCAGAAACAACAAATCTGAAGTGGAGCTCTACTCAAGTACACATTTTGTATGGTTTTCAGTTAAT